TTTTTAAGGAAATATTTTAACAAAAGGTTAAGAAACTACATTTCCAATTACTGAGAAGAACCCAATAGCATTGAAAGACTTTCTTAAAGTAAAATAGTTTTAGCTCTACCAAAAATTATTGACTGTTATTGTCATTTATTATAAGGAACTTAGCTTTGCAAAACAATAAATTAAATACAAATAGAGAAATGACCAAGGACTTTTAAACAGTTCTGTATTTTACTAACAAAAGGTGGATTCTGTGTGGGGAAGGGGTGAGGGGAATTGTGTCAGTCAAGAAGAGGGAAGTGTTTTATTAAAGACCTGGTCTAAAACCCCAACCCCTACTCATCCTCTCCAAACCCCCTCCCCATGTGGAATTCCAGGTGGGTCGCAGGCTAATGACTAGATGACTGTAATTACCCGGGGCTGTTGATAGCTGGAGATGGGACATGGTTGTGCCACAGAGGGCCTAGTGTGGGCTCCTGCTGGGACCACATTTAATCAAAGGCTTCTTGGGCGGCTTATCACAGGGAATACTTTCCAGCAATCTTCTCAGTCTCTGCACCCTCTGTTTCCCAGACTACAGATAAATCTATGCAGCATTCAAATCCAAAGACTCCACATCTAGGAGGTCAGACACCAGCACAGAAAGAACACACAACATTTTAGTATTTTAGACATGCTTTTACTCTTTCATATTGCAGTTGCCATCTTTCTACAGAGTAATGGCCTTGTAGCTCACTGAGTTTGTATAGTTCATTAAGTTCTAATGATAAGATCATATTTTCTTATTGAGGATTAGAACAGGAGCCTTAAAGCAAGTGTTTTAAAAGAGGTAAAAATTTTATTTGTAGAAGAAATGTTCATCATCAGATGGTTATCAAAATAGTCTTCATTGATAATAAGAAAAAAAATCTCATAAGACTTACCTGTCATCTTAGAATGATTGTTTGCTCTAAAAAGAGCCATCATGACTCTAGAAGTGGTCTTTTAATAGCTACAAAAGGCCAATATCATTAGATAGGCTTTATTGCTTCTCCCAAGAGTAATAATATCAAGTCACAGCCAGTCTGAGAGTAGTGCCAGTGACCTGTGGTAATAGCTATCTGTGTCCTGGATGCCAAGCAGAGAGCATTCCTGTTGCAAACCATTAGGCCTTGCAGCTCGCAGACAATGTTAAGTCAACACAGAGGCAGAGAGGCAGACCAGAATGAATGAGGACATAGGAGAGGAATCAAACATGTGATTTATTTGTTCACCATTTCAGAGCTGGATCATTACATGATGTACCAACTCAGTCAACCTCAAAATAAAGTGGAACATCAATATAGAACCATTTTGATGAACATGAAGAGTGCACCCTTTTTTTAAATTATGCATTTTTGTGAGGTAACTCATTGATTTCAAAAGCATTTTTTCAGTCAATATTATTAGATATAACTGACCTGAAAATCTTGTTGCATGGTTGTGCATACCAAAAAACTAATTCTTTATGGAAGCACATTTTTTGTTGTTGTTTTTTTGGCATTAGAGCACAAATTGTGATGTTTTGCCACAAAAAAAAAAATTCAAATTTCATCAAGTTCCATTTGAAAAATTTTGGTCAAACCAGATTTGAACAAGACGAGCAGCACAAATTTCAGTCTTAAAACAGGAAATCCCACAATATAATTTTGCTACATCAGCATTTGATGTTCTTACAGTATGTTTTTTTTTTTTTTTTCCAAACTTCAAGAAAACTGTGGCCTGAAGTTTCTTGTCAACAGGACCAAAGCAAATTCTCCTGCAATATTTGGGAAGATTTTGTTTTCTAGGCCTGGATGATTTTCTTGGAACAGCATAATAGCAACCCTACATATTATTGGGGCTGAGGAGAATTAAGAATATGTATGTCAAACGCACATAGAACACAACTACTATTTACCTGAAATTCCTTCTTATCCTACAGTGATCCTGTTCACTTTTAACTAGATACTTTCCCAAGTTTCTCCTGTGCCATTTTTATTAGTTATGAAGAAAGCTGTATTTATTCTAATTTCTCTGATGGTTCATATTTTCTCCAGTTGTAAGGACTGTCTTTAATGTAGATTGGCTAGATTAAATTCTGTGGAATATTTTTCTACTCTTCTCCTGACTGATTCGTTATATGTTTTTTTTGTCTAAAATAGATTTAAAAATGACATGCATTAAGACTATTTTACAACACTTAAAAAATGCTTTATAATAGAGGTTTGAACAGTTCTGACACCAACAGTAATTTCCTGGTTCCAAGGCTGCTTCGTCTCCAGATCTTTCCTTACACCTTTTAATATGTCATGCGAATCCAGCTCTGATCTACAGTACAGACAGATTTCTTTCTCCATTCCTTTTAGACTATTCATAACGCAGATGGTGCAAACATTTGTTCAACATTATCACAATTATTTTGAACTGTGCCAGCCTTCTCTTTTGTTCTCGCGCTTATTCTCACTCTTGGCTCCCTTCATGTCTCAAATCTGACAGTAAAAAAGATTTATGAAACTTATGTCAAGGCTGCAATGCATGTCAGTGTAAGCAGGTTTTGCCAAATGGCAAGTCTGAGAATAGCGACTTAGCTGTAAGATTACA